CCTATCTCCAGGAGGAAAAAACACAAGAGAGAGGAGACTGGAAGCAAATGGGCTTCTGGGTCCCATCAGGGCTGCACAAGAACTCCGCCATGCTGCCAGCTTGCACCAGTGTGCAGCCCTCACCCCGCGACAACCAGACATCCCTGCCCGGCCCGGGCTGGGAGCGGGTAATAAACCCAGGGAGGCACACTCCCCAGTGAAAGTGGGTGGGCTTAGGGCATCCCGGCTCAGCCTCTGCCTCAAGTCACAGAATGCGAACAGTGTATATGAACTAAACCTGCCTGTTACAGCGTGAGTGGGGTGGAGGCCACAGGGCCTCTGTGAGGGGGGGGAGCAGCGTTGTCCTGAGTACAGCCAGCAAGCTGCTGTGTGGAGTGGGCTGGGCCAGAGCCCTGCTTCTGGACTGGAGTTGCCATTTGAATTTATGAGTGTGCAGAAATGCCTCTCCCACCGTTTCCTGCTAGCTGATGGCCCCTACCCTGGCCAGAAAGCCTCTGGATGGTGGGCAGCAGTGCCCGTGTCCTCACCCACTGACAGTGGCTGAGCAGGGCAGGCGAGGGAGGCCAGGACGGCTGCACTTCAGGGGCTCAGCCACTAAGGGCAGCAGAAGCATCTAAGAGGGCAGGGGCGGTATCTTTCCTGGACCAGCTCTTGATCCACTTTGCACCTTTTCTATTGTTACTGACGCTGCTCAGTCCTGGTGTGGGAGGGTATTGGAGGAGTTTGTGCAGTGGTTCCTCCACCAGGGGTCAGAGACCATGTCCTACTGCCAAGCAGCAGTGACCGCCTAAGCGTAGGCTGTAGGGGTGGGGAGAGGTAGGGGGCACCTCAGCTGGAGCTCAGGGGTATCTCCTTCCAACCTCAGACCAAGCCGGTGGAAAAGGAGAGAAAGTGCATGGAGCCAGCCGGGACCCAGCCACTCTCCTCTCCAACACTCCGGGTAGGAGGCCCCCTTGCCAGCCAATCCTGCCTGCTGGCCTTCCCCGGCTCCCTCTCCAAAGGTCCTGCTCCCCACTCCCTTGGCACAACACAGCGCCAGGCTTCCCACTGCTCTCCCAGCTCTATAGACTCTGTTTTTATATCTATTTAAAACATAGAAATGTATAAATATATAGGATATTATTTATAGATATATAGACGTGATTTACTCTTCTTACTCTGTGTGTATACGTACTGTATATGTCCATATATACAACATATATGCTGTAGCATCTGTATTCTACACTGCACATACCCCTGCTTCCATGCACTCTCTCCTAGGGAGACTGGATTGCATAGGTATTTCCAGGGCGATACCACTTGAGGGGGTGGGGGGGGAGTGCCAAATGGAAGTGGAGGGGCGTACCATTTTCCTCCCAAAAGGGCACTTTTTCTCCCTCAGGCTAACATGCAAAGATCGCCTCGAAGGGTCCTTAAAAATATCACAGCACCATCCATTCAGCTCAAGCACCCTGACCAACAGACAGCAAGAGAAGGGCCCCTGTCAAGTGGAAGACGGGCTTCCCTCCAAGCCGGAGAAGGGCTGTGCCAGTCTCTTGAGTCCTCCTGAGGACTGAGGAGGAGGCCAGACTAGAACCCATGACACAGCACCACCTCCCCACATGACTGGTGTCTGGAATGGGTGCTCCAAGCTCCGTTGCCATCTGAAAACCCCTTTCTTGTCTGAGGAGGCCTGGCCTGCCTGTTTCAGCTGTTCCAGCCTGGCCTGGCTACATCTGCCCCTTGAAGCAGGAAGGGGGCACAAGTCCAGTGCCTTCTGCCAAAGTTGTACGTACGGGCCAAGAAAAAGCACGAATTCTACTTGGAAATCAACCCAGACTGAAAGCCAAAAGCAGATCTCGGTGTAGAACTCCCGTTCCTAGAGTGGGTAGAAGGAAAAATGAGGGGGATCCAGAAGAGGGAGGTTATATTTCAACCCCTCAGGCCGCCTCCTGGGTCCCATCAGGCTCCAGGTGAGCAGGTGGCATGGCACCAGCCCCTCAGCGCAGGCTGGGCCAGGGCTCTGGGCCCACGGCAGGCTCTCAGCCATCCTCTCCAGCCTTCTGCATGCTTTCCCCTGTTTTCTGCCTTTTGGCACCACCTCCAAACGAATGGAAAATATTTAAACATTACTTTAAGTAATTACAAGGTCCTTTTCCCAAATTAAAGGGTTGGCATAAGCAACTCAAAGGGAGGGGATTCAGCAAAACAACTCAACTTGGAAACGTGGCAGGGGCTAAGGTCAGTGACCCCCAAGTGCCATGGATTCCGGGGTCCAGCACTGAACCTGGCCATCCAGGGTCCCAGAGCTTGAGCCTGCTCAGTCCCAAGTGAGGATAGGGAAATGAGGACGTGCCCCACATCACAAGGAGTCATAGGCCAGTCATTTAAAAAATTAAATAAGGCTGCTGTTTCTGATGCCTGGACTCATATTCAACCAGGCAGGGGATTCTGACATGGCAAGAGTCACAGACGTGGCTGGGCTGTAGATGGCAATGGATCTTTCGTTTTGTCCTCCATGAAGGAAAAGCAGACCATGTTACTCATAAAGGCCCCAGCTCCCAGGCTCTGCCAGGTGTCTCCCTGGCACAATTGGCCACAAACCTGGGCCTAGAGGTTAATCTCACTTCCCACCATCTCCACGAGCCAAAGAAAGTCACTAATCAGCCAGCCCCGTTATGCCAAGTCTCGGCCCCAGAGACGCATTTCATTCTAAGCCTGTAGTCATCACTCCTAAGCCTTAAAGGGCTCTGTCTTGTTTGAAGTAACCACATATGAGATGTACCAACTTCCTCTCCATAGTTCTGTATACCCATCAAGGGGAGACTAGGTTAGCCAAGCATAGGGGTCCCTGGGCTAGACCCTGAGTGTCCTATCAATCTAAGTCCTTCTCAAGCAAGCAGGAGAGTGAGCAATGCCTACGACAGAAATCACAGGTAATTTCACATGCAGAGTTCACAGGACAGATGCACTGGGCCTCCCAGGGAGCATCCAAGCTGAGAAGAGACCCCACGTAAATTGCAGTGGTGTATCACCCAAATTATTCCCTGTCCCATGGCCATGTGGCCTACAGAGTGTCTGCCATAGCCCTGGCATGGCTAAATTCAGCAGAAGCCACAAGCACCCAGAGTTTTAGGGGTGTCCTAACCTAACTTTAAGACCATCTGAGAGCTTAGCTTTTCCAAGGTCTGGTGGCCAGCGCAGGAGGTGACCCCTGCAGCCACGTGCTGCGCATAGCAGCTCATTCTGCTAGGCCAGAGGTGGGTCACCTGTTCCTAGCTTTCTCAGGAGCTACAGGGTAGGCACTGGCACTGCCCCATAAGCTTGTCCCCATCCAGCTGAAGATTTTAGCTGATTTTGACCATGATCTCTTGAGAGGAAAAAGTCCAGCCCCGACTGACTAGGTGCTCAGGCAGACACTGGTTCTCTCTTCCTGGTTTTCAAATGAATTAGGGGTCTTAGCCTGCTCCTCCCTACCCATTACCCAAGGTAAGGTGTAAGGCAACTAGTGGCTGGAAGAAAGGATCTCAACCTACTGTTTCTGTCCTCACCAAGCCCTGTCTTGCCAGCCATCTCTGCCCTCAACCCTTCTTAGTCTCTGCAATGTTTAGTGATGACACAGCAGTTTGCGTGTGCGAGGGGAGAGGAAGTCCCGAGGCTGGGGCTGGGCCAGGTGGGACCTGGGGCTTTGTAACAGCTCCCACTTGACCACAGTTAGTTTTAGACCCTGATGAGAGGAGCGGATGGAGGGAGATAGCAGTTCAAAGTGGGAAGTGGAACGGGGCCGGAAATCTCAAAGCTTCAGAAAGGGGCTTTCAGCCTTTCCTTGCTAGTTCCTGCTAACTGTTTTCTTGCTCGGAGGAGGGTGGGGAAGTATGTGTGCAACTGGGGTGGGAGGTGGGTTGGATGTCACCAGGCAGGGGTGCATTGATTTGTTGAAGAAGGCAGCATATGAGGCCTGGCAGTGGGACAGTTGGAGGAACCCAGTTTTTTGTTTTTTAACATGCTACATCACTGTTAAAAACAAACAAAAATGTTTCAAAAATAATATATAATATATATATATATAATATATTTATATAATGAAAAGCTATTGACTAGCAGCAATGATTCTAAAGTTACCTTAGCACCAAGACCATGGGGGTGAAGGGGAAGGGAGTGGTGGGGGATGGAGGGACTGGCAGGACCAGGAAGGGGCTATAACATGTTCAGTGTTGATGACGTTTCCACTATGGTTCTCAACGGCGGCATGAGGCCTCAGAGACAAGATCAACCAAGAAGGAAGGAAGCCACCAGTTTTATAATGTCTGAACCAAGCAGGTTGGAGACATTGGGGCCTTGCCTGCAGCCAGATCACACCAACCAAGAGGTGAAGCTCTCAGCAGAACTGACCACATGTATAGAATTCAGATCTTCCTCCCTCCCCTCAAAATGACCTGTATCCACATGATAAGATCTCTGCATACAAACGATGCATAAATCAGATGTAGAAACATGAACAGAAGTTTTTAACAGCTCACGCACATTTTTTAAAACTCCCTTGCGAGGTATACCGGTAGTTAAATGAATGAAAGAGCATTGATCAGACTCCTCTAGCTTAAACCACTGCTTGCCCCAGGGAGTAGGCAAGTGGCTATTTCTAAAGCTTGTATTGTATATTGTGATTGTGTGTGTGTGTATGTGTGTGTGTGTGTAGGCTGATGCCTTGAGAGTCCTCTCTTCTTTTCTCCTTTTCTTTAGGACATCTCTACCCTGGTCAAAAAAGGAAGATTTATAGGCAGAGACACATTCTCCAGCTTCCTGTGACCATGGGGCATGTTATCAGCCTTGTTGCAAAAGAAGGACCACATCTCTAGAGGCTCTCATTTGAGTTATGCAGAACTCAGGGCACAATTTGCATTGATACCTCCTGCCACTGAACTTTAGCAGGCATTTCTTATTAAAGGAAAAAAAAATTATTAAAGGAAAAAAAAAATACCCTCAACACATGATATGATTATAAAGACAGAGTATAAATAATTCATGTAAATTGAATACATACTTTTCATTTTACTTTCTTTTTTTTAGCCAAAAATCACTCCCTTATAGGGGCCTGGACTTCTTGGCTCTTCATCTCCCCAAAAGCCTTGGATCAGAATGGAACTGTATTGTTTATTCTCTACCTCGTAAAAACAGGAATGCTAAAAGCTCACCCCTTCTCCCTTTCCCAGGATTTCAAGCTCGGCGGTGAGGCAATCTTGCCTTCAGTATAATGGGTAATATCGTAGTTTCCAGGGGGCTGGAAAGAAGGGATCCACATCCCAGGATGGACGAGGCAACAGAGGTGAGGTGCGGCGGTGTCACAGTTTGACCGACACTTTTGTTTGTAGGACAGTGAAGGAACCCTCATCAGGAAATGAATAAAAAAAAAAGATCTCAAGCTGAAGTTAGACGGGGAGGGAGAAAGGTCAAACCCCCCAATCCAGACACACAACTCACCCCGGCTTAAGTCTGAGACCTTTGACCAGAATGTCAATGAGGAGGCCAAGGACCTCCCTCCCATCATAAAATCAAATGAAAAAAGAAAAGGCAAGAACATAAACCCAAACCCAAAGCCCCGCCACCCGCAAATGAAAACATAAACAAAATGAGCTACCTAAAGGTGATGACAGAGACCTGTCATTTTAGCTTATGCTGTTGGTGGACAGTAAGTTGGGAACACAGGTGGCCCCAGCACGTGCTTCTGTGAGTGAAAATGAGTTGCCACGTATGTTGCAGCTGCCAAATTTTGTAGACAAAAGAGTCAGTTTCCAATATTTTTCCTTTCTGAAAGCTCCCAGGTGGCTTCTGGTGGATGTGTCACCTTGGTTTTTAAAAATTTTCAGTGTGGGTTTATATATATATATATATATAATATAATATAATATATATTTATATAATATATCAAAGCTTATGAGTATAGATTAAAAAAATATTCAATAGCTTCGTGAACTCTGCAGCGCCAACTCCCTAAAGGTCTGGGTAAAACTCCGCCCCGTGGTCCACGGTCTGTAGCGCTGGCTTCTGCTCCAGCACGGACATCCTGCTGAGGACCTCTGCGGACAGTGCATAACTGTTCCCCGACTTCTCCTCAAACCAGCTGTCCAGGGCTCGCTTGGCATCAAAATTGGCAATTGGCGGTCCGTTTACAGCGATTGTCAACAGGTCGCTAAGTTGCTCCAGGGTCAGGCGGGAGCGGTGGTTTTTGCGAACTCGCTGGAGGGCGTTGCGGCCTTTCTCGCAGCAAGCGGTGGAAGTGGGGAGGACTTTAAGAACCTGGATGATCTTGTTCAAGAGTGGAAACCTCTGTTTGTACTTGCAAATGTGGCTGATCAGGTCTTTGAAGCCATTTTTGGTGTAGTAATCTGCCTTGAGTTCTCGCCATTCCATCAGCAGACTGCCCCGGGGGTCCAGCCCTTCCCTACAGATATCCCTGGAAAAGGTCGGGATGGCCTCCAGGTGATCAAATATCTGCACCATATCCTCCTTGCCATAGCTCATCAGCTCCTCACTGCTCCTGGGCCAGGCAGCCAGGTCGAAAACCTGACAGGCCTTCACAAAGATCCGGCTGCGGGAGTCGAACCTCTGAGCCAGGATGACCTGGGTCTTCTGGCAGATCTTCTCCCTGATGGACTGGAACTTGGCTTCAGCCACCCTGAGGTTCTTCATGGCGATCCCATTGAAGCTCTCTCGGAAGTTCTCCTCAAACTCCTGCAGGTATTCTCCCGGGGAGTCAGCCAGCCGGCTGATCTCCTGGATGGCCTCCTCGATCTTGTCATCCACCTGGGACACCAGCAGGTACTCGCCCTGGAAGACGTAGGCCAGGCGTGAGAGCACAGCGATCACGTCCAGCAGGAAGTAGATGAGCTTGATGGACTGGTAGTCCATGAGGAACTGCAGCAGGGCCAGGGCGATGGCCGAGGCATCTGCCCGCTGGGTCTGGCTGCTGACCTCCTTGAGATGAGCCACCACGTCCAGGTAGTCCTTGATAAGGGCATTGAGGACGTTCTGCTCGCCAATGATCCACCGTACCGCCCGGATGTCCCCCAGGAACTCTGTCTCCTCGCAGAGGGTGGCCGCCGTGGACCGCAGCTCGCACATGAGGCGCGGCGAGTAGCGGTAGAAGCTCAACAGCTGCTTCAGGTTGTTCTCCAGCTCTTCCAGGCATGGGAGCTCCTTCCCGCTGATGGCATCCAGGATCTCCAGGTGGGGCCGGTGCACCATGAAGGGCAAGCACAGCAGCCAGGGCAGGGTCTTGCGGATCGTCATGAACATGCTGGCCCGGAGGCTGGCTGTGATGTTGGCCCCATCTACACCCAAGCCCACGGTTGGCTTTTCATCCTGTAACCGGATGCCCAAGGCCGAGAAGGCCCGGTCAAGTGCCTGGAGATAGCTTTCTGTGCTAGAGAACCCCAGCTCCTGCAGGGACAGGAACTCTGTGGCCGGGGGCCCGTCGCTGCTGGTGTACTGAACGTAGACAGCCACCGTGTCGGCCAGCAGGTCGTCGCTCTGCCCATCCAGGATGATGCTGAGGCAAGGCGACTGGCGGATGCGCTCCACCAGGTCTTCCCGCAGGGCCCGGGCGATGTGATGGATGAGGATCTGGCAGTCTCCCTCATTCATGTACTGGTCCACCACCTTGAGCTCACACTTCCTCAGCAGCTCCGCCAGGGGCCGGAAGTCCAGGTAGGGCCTGCCCTCCAGGGCCAGGTGGTAGGCGGTGTTGAAGAGCAGGGTCATGTTACGACACATCTCCTCCGTCTTCTCCGGGTGCATGCGAAGCTTGTACAGCTGCAGGCACTTCTTGTGCAGGTTGCTCTGGCTGTGCAGTTTGATGGTGTGAATCTTAAACTGCTTGGAGCCGATGATGAAGGCCGAGGTGCGTGAGGACTGCACCGTGTACTGGCGGCAGACGTGGCACCACATCTCATTGAGGGTCGGGGAGTACCGCAGGAACCAGAACTTCTTCAGCCATTCCTGCTTAAAGCGCCGGATTCGGCGCCCGGTGGCAGACGACATCTTGGAGGGCTCATCCGTTGCAGTCATCATATCGTTGGAGACAGATTCATCTGCTGAATCAACTTCCTGGTCATCGTCCTCCATGATGGCAGGGCCAGAGACCATGCTCTCTGAGGCTGAAAAACAAATGGGAAAGAAACATTTATACCTGGTGGGAAAAACAGGCTTTCCAAAATTCACAGGAAACACTCCTGAAAGGTGGGTGCCACACCGTGGGAAACAGAAGTCCGTGGAAGCCTATGACAGATTGAATTCCAGCCCAGAATTAGTTTATGAGCACTCCTGCTCGCCCATGTGACTTTTACTCTCTGTGAATTGTCCACGGTGGCTTTCTGGTCCCCCAGCCAGGCTCCAGGCTGCCTGCCCTTGCCCTCCACGCGTGGGTGCTTGAGGGATCTAAATGCCCCCTGTCAACTGGATAGCACAAACTAGGAGAGTGGATCTGATGGAGGGGGAAAAGCACATCACACATTCTAAAGTTACATATCAAGGACTTGGGATTCATTTGCCCTCCACTAATGTGAAGAAAGGCAGGTTGGATATGGCCTCAAGTGATTTCAGGATCAAAGTGCAGTTTAGTTTAGAGGCATGCTTTGAATACAAGAAATACCTCATTCTCAGCTAAGGGATATAGTTAAAAGAGGAAGCGCTGTGAAAAGAGTCTCCCTCAGCTGCACATGTGAACTAGAAAATCTCCCTAGTTGTCGATCAACTCTAGAGATCCAGGCAGCCAACAGACTAGGGCAAAGCCATGCAGGTGAATGAGCTGGATCCCCTCACTCTCCATCCTTCTAGAACTCCAGGCAGGGGAACAGGGACCATGTGTGGCAGAACAGAGATTCAGGAAGAGAAGAACAAGGCCATGCTCCTGGACTAATTTTGGGAAGCCATGAGATCTTTCCAGTGGGACACCCTGCTTGGAACTGAGGAGAGAGAGAGACTGGGTTTTAGAAGTTGGGCTTTGGGGCAAGACACCAGTAGGACCACCAGAGAAAGGCAACAGGTCAAGAACACAGCACACACCCCTTCTGCAGCGGAACTTCCTTTATTGACAAGGAGGATACAAGGGCAACACACGGAGCCCCTGGCAGAGCTGCCGATGGGCCTGCCAGAGGCACTGAGGACCTGGGCTCCCACCCACAGAGGTGGCCACCTCCGTGTTACACTCCTCAGGTCTCCCGGAAGGTGGTTTCCACAGAGAGCTTTAGGCTAACCTCCACACAGCCCACTGAGTGCTCTGCCCTCCGACAATAATCTCAGCCAAGACAACTTACCTGCAGGGTCCGAGAACTCTGGGAGCTCCAGTACCTGTGGTGGCAATACAGGGGGCTCAGGAAGTTTCCCAGACTTAAGCATGTCTAATTCTGCCTGGAGCTCCCGGACCTTCTTCTTTAGGCGAATACAGTTAGGGCAAAAAGAGGTGGTGGGAAGTTCATGAGGGTCAGATGCAAGGGAGGCCTCGGCGGGACTGTCGGCCTTGAATGATGAAGGCTCCTCTTCTTCATCTTCCAGTGGGCCTGGCTCTTTGGAGACCCCCTGGGGGACCTTCCAGTCCCCCTCCCCCTGGGTCCGGCCTACATTCTGCACACCATGGGTTATGGTCGTTGCACGCCGACTGTAGGCATCATCCTGGTACTTGGGGACTTTCCTGATGACCAGTGAGGTGCTCAGGGCCAACTGGTGGGCTTCCACCTTTGCAGATTCCAGTGAGGCCTCCAGAACATCCTTGAAAATCAGGTCAATTTTCTTCTTCTTGGCTTGGGGTTGTACGTCCCCCTCATCAAAGCCACGCTTGTAGGGACTTTTGCCCTGTCTCAGCACAGGGAGATGGATGGGACCCCTCAGGTCTTCTGGGTTATCCAGAACCTGCTCAGACTTCTCCCTCTGCAACCTCTTCTCTCCTAGGAAGGAAAACCAGGCTGTAAGGAAGTGGGGAAAACCCCCAAATTGGAGAAACCAACAGAAAACAAAGCAGGCCTCCTGTTAGGTTGCCTGACACATCCCTCCAGCTCTGGGCTTGTGGGGCAGGTGTTGCAAAGGGGTGAGGTGAATCACTTGGTGGACCATAAGAGTTAGATTCACAGGACCTGAACAGTGGAAAGGCCTTTTATAAAGATAGTTTCAAAGAAGCCTCATATCTACAAGCTCTATGGTTATAAGTTAAGAGAAATCTGTAGGGGAGAGTAATTGAATGGTCTTTGCTATGACCCTAGAAGACAACATCCCACCCAATCACACTGGGTGGTGGGAACATACCTCAGAGCCAAGTGAGTATCAATTCCCCCAACCTTTGTAGCTTCTCCCAAGCCCTAGAAATGACAAGATGGCTGCTTCGACTTGGTAAAAGGTAAATGTGAAACACCATAGGCCTCACTCCTTTCTCCTCCCTCGTTGCTCTGGAGACAGCCCACTTAAGGCAAGGTCCATCCTATGGCAACTGTCCTTTCTAATTCTCCCGGTAATCAGCAGACTAGGAACACGTGAGAAAGTAAGATCTGAACTTCTTTGGTTAGACTAAGGATGGAAGAAAGGGGATGACAAGGAGACCTATGGCACTGAGGGCTCCAACATGGCTGCCTCCAACAAAATAAAGGACAAGGTAGCCACAAGGACCCAAAGCAGTCTGGAAATACAGCCTGATTCTTTAAAATTACCAACATAGTTTCATAAACTGCTACAGAAGTGCTGATGCTTCCTGGTGAGAGATGCTAAAAAGGCAGAGGAATCTCTTCAGTCCTTAGAGGGTCCTGAAAGCAGCCTATGGAACTCAGAAATCTCAAAGGTTTCCTAGACCAGGAGCAGGAGCCCTGGGTGATGTGTCCCTGAACAATGACTTGAACTAAGCTGTACTTAGGCTTCTGATGGCTCCATTTGCCAAAGGCTTCTTTTCTGTGTGAAGGCCAAGGGTTCGTCATAAGCAATCCAGAGGTTGCATGCCTGGTTTCCCATAGCTGGCATGGGTGCTGTGCCTGTCTCATGTTTGACTCCAGGTTTCCTTTAGGTTACAGCACAAAAGGAAGTTATCTATTCAGGATCCCCCTTTTCTGTCCTCACATGAATGCTTAAGGAACAACTTCACCTCCAAGGCTTCTGGAACCCAGGCAGCTCCCCACAGCCTGCACTTCCGTATCAGCTGAGCTGCAGAAAGGGGAGGGACGGAGATAACTTGAGAATGCAGCCTGTTTGCCTTACAGATCAGATGCATCCCTTGCCCATTGAGAATCTCCAAAAATCAAGGGCCACCTTTTCCTTTTCCCAGGGGACAATCAGGCAGCAAATAGCTGAGGGAGTCGAGAGGTCAAGCCTACAAATCACCAGAGATTCCTCATCATTGTTTGTTGCTCAAATTTCTTAGAATGAGCAGGAGATCTTTGTAGCCCTTAGGCTTCCAGAAAAATCTATGGGCCAAAACAGACCTTTAAGCTTCATGAAATTGCTTCCAAAGCCTCCATACAATATGGAAAACAAAAACAAACAAAACCTCAAAGTAAATTAATGACTCAAAGTAGTTCAAATAACATAAATTGTTTGAATGTGAGCTTTAGATGCAATCTCTTCTTAAATGGTAACCACAGAGGAATAGTTTACACTGTCTTCAGGAAGACTTCTTGCAACAACCAATATCTCTACTTAATAAGAACTATTAATTCATGCTCTGGCCTCCATCAGGGTGCCAACCTCCAATTACAAAGAAACCTCCTTCTATGTAAGACCGTGAGTGATTGGGCGTGGGAGATCTCCCTTCCAGAGCAGCACTGGCACACCAATCTGGGACACCACTAAAAGTACCCAGAGTCTGCTGAAGCTACAGGCTACAGAGGCAAACATTAAAAAGCCACTGAGCTCCATGACTATTCCCAAGGGCTTCAGTACCAAGATCACCCACAGCTGTGGAACTGCCCCACTGTGGCTTTCAATTTCCTTCCTATTTCCTACTGCTCAGCCTGACCAGGATAGACACTCTTCCCTCCTGTATCTTCATATGTCTCGATGTATCTCCCTTCAAGTCTGTCTGACACGCCTCCTCTGAACCACTCCGGAAAGCTCACGCCCTTCTCTGAGCAGTCCCCGGTGGTCTCAGGGCTCATGGAGGATGATGCAGCTTCAGGTGCTCTGGAGAAGACCACTGAGGGAAGAAAAGGACATCGCAAATCCAGAAGAATGCAAGAAGGTTATGACCAAGGGACAAATCTGTGTTCTCAGATATGATTTCTCTGGGATTTCTTTTCTTCTAGTGTTTTGATTCTCTGGGAAGCTTCATGGCTGTCTTCATTCATTTCTTCTTTTATCCATTCAACAGACTTATTGAGCCCCTACTATGTATCAGACACTTTTACATGAGGCATCTCCAGAGGTCACATGGAAACCACTGCGGCCTCGTCAGGGAAGCGCACCTTGCCAAGTGAAACCAACATGTGCCCAACCCTGAGACCCAAAGAACACAAGAGATGAGTATGTTTACGGGGTCTCCTTTGACTGCCCATCATCTCCAGATACCTTTTACCAAGTCAGGCAGCAGCTGTGCACTCAGTATCCACAATTTGCTTTGTTCTGTTTTGCTTTTAAAGATAGCTTAATTTGAATAGGTCACTCCCACCCCCTTTTCATCTTCTCCCCTCGTATTCCAAGGGAAGATTTATTTCCAATAAGTAGACTGATCAGGAACACAGTATGGTGGGGCTTGGGAACAGCCTTGGTTCCTGGCACCAGATACACTCTGGGTATTTGGATGTGTGGTTTTAGTGCAAAAAAACAGCAAACAAACAAAAAACAAAACCCTTGAAAGAAGGACCTAACCTGGGCAGGATGAGAATGGAATAAAAAGGTCAAGGGTTAGGGGCTGGAAGTGGTTAAAACTGCTTCTGAATGGACACCCAACCTACCCAGCTTCCCACACTTATGTCACCTTCCCACCTCCTTCCAACCTGCTTCTTTTGATAGAGATTGTTCTTTCATCTCATCTCATTAGGACTGCGGCAGAGACACCAGGAAGAAGCAAGGAGGGGACTGGTTTTGTCTGGAACACCAGATAACACTGTAGGTCAGAACTTAGATCTTTGAGTCAGACCCATGTGGATTAGAAACCTACTTCTATCCTTCCTAGCCAGGTGACCCTGGATGAATCACTGTATTCATTTGATATTCGGTTTGCACATCTGTAAGATGGGTAAAAGAATCCGTGTTGGATCGTGAGTATTAAAAGTTCATAGCTAGGCCGGGCGCGGTGGCTCACGCCTGTAATCCCAGCACTTTGGGAGGCCGAGGCGGGTGGATCACGAGGTCAAGAGATCGAGACCATCCTGGTCAACATGGTGAAACCCCGTCTCTACTAAAACTACAAAAAATTAGCTGGGCATGGTGGTGCGTGCCTGTAATCCCAGCTACTCAGGAGGCTGAGGCAGGAGAATTGCCTGAACCCGGGAGGCGGAGGTTGCGGTGAGCCGAGATCGCGCCATTGCATTCCAGCCTGGGTAACAAGAGCGAAACTCCGTCTCAAAAAAAAAAAAAAAAAAAAAAAAGTTCAGAGCTGAGGGCTTCCAACGATGGAGCCGGATATTGTCCTAAATGCCATATGTCCATGACTCCATCTAATTCTCAAGGCATACTGACAGGGTAGGGACAGCTGCTATGTTGATTACATGGGAACGTGCAGAAAATCTGCTCACAGGTTATGGGAAATATATCAATGCCAGATACTGTAGGTGATTGAAACACTGAAAGGTCATCTCTTCTACTCTTCACTAACTTTTAACCACAGGGGTTCCCAGATACCCACAGGCCTCTGATGGTGGTAAGAGTGGGGTCCTTGAACTGTTGCTAGTATTTCACGTATTAAGTAAATGTTACCTATTATTGTGATGGTTATTGAGGCCATGGCAGTTTGTAACATCTTTTCATCAACTGGAGTTGGGAAAACAGGGAACATTTGGATTAAACATACTTGCTTGGCTTTGGGGGCTTGTCTCTGTCATGATACTGTGAAATGTGTGTGTTAAGGGTTTCTGAGACTATTTCTAGGGGAAGAGAACAAGCTGGGGTGGCCCCTGCCTGGCCCAGAGCAGCTGCTCAGACCTCGACCGTCTGTTCCCCAGAATCACTTTGATCTTCCCATTGCTGGCAACTGTATTTCCCATTGGTTTTCTTAGGAAGCCCCAAAAGAAGCTCTCAAGACCTCCCCTGGGGCTCAGTGGTGGGCGCGGTTGGCATGGAGCGTGGCACTCACCTTTGGCAAGGTTGCGGTGGATGGTTTCCTGGGACATGCTGTGCAGGCGCTTCATGTAGTCCTCGCTGTACCAGACCCGCAGCCACTCCCCAGGCCGGATGTCCCTGCACGCCCGGAAGTAGATGCATTCGCTGTGCTGGAAAGCCAGCAGGTTCTGCTCCCTCTCCTCCCGGGATATGACCACGTACCTGGGGGCGAGGGGAGATGGGTGAGAACGCACAGGTCACCTGTTGTTGAGTGACTGCTGGTGCTGGCACAGTGCTGGTGAGGGTTAGAATGCCACAGGCATGTAGGCCTGTGTGAGCACTGGCAGAGCAGCTGCCCTGTCCAGAGAAGCAGCACCAGCCACACCCCATCCCTGTCCCAACGTCACTGTGTCGTGGGACCTCAAGCACATCTCCAAACCTCTAAGAATCTCTGTTTTCTGAGACTGGATATGACCCCTGTCTTGCCTGCCTCATAGCATATGGAAAATATATCAACACTAGATATTATAGGTGATTGCAAAACTGAAAAGTCATCTCGTCTACTCTTCAGTAACTTTTAACACAGGGGTTCCCAGGTACCCACAGGCCTCTGATGGTGGTCAGGCTGGGGTCCTTCAACTGTTTCCAGTATTTCACAAAGCCTAGCTGAAATAGCCTATGAGACAAGGTATCCAAGAGATCCATTAATAAATGCTAAAGATGAAAATCTTTTAAAAAATGGGGGGTCCAGGGGAGGAAGGTAAATAAGAGACCACAAAATGTTGACAACTACTGGTTAATCTTACTAAATGATTTTAAGATAAGGAGGCTGAGGCTCAGAGAGGCCAAGTGACTTGCCCAAACTCACACAGCTAATAAATGGGAGATGCAGCTTTGAGTCCTATGCATGTTTCCCACTGTAACTAATGGCTCCTACCGTGGGCATATAAAGCAGCAGCTCAGCAATGCCCAGATAACCTTCAAGGTTCTGTCAAACCCTCAGAATCTATGACCCTCGTGCATTCTCACTGAAACATTTGCAACATCCAGTCCACCACCCTACCCACCTCCAAAAGGTGGAATGGTGCAACACCTGCCAAGGAGTGAAGGTGCACAGATCAGAGGACAAGAGGAAATCAGCTGGTGTTTCACAGTTCTGTGCTACACAAGCATCTAGGAAATCTGTAGGCAAAAATAATTTCTTTCTTTATGTTACGGTTTGTCTCAAAAACCAGGCACAAAATCAAAGTCTGCCTGATTGGTGTAGCTCAGTGAATCACATCTGGATAAGTCCAGGGAAAACAAAAATTCACAGAAGAATTCCAATGGATAATAAACAAATGAAGAGTATTCAGCATCATTAATAAAGGAAACGCAACATAGTACCTTGTCTCATTGGCACAGATTTCTAAAAGACAATATCTTTATTGGTAAAGGTGGTAAGAAGGGTGTCTCCTGTACTGATGTTCCAGTATGAACACTGCAACCCTTTGAAAAACAATTTGGCATATGGCTCAAGAAACATAAGATACAGATGAAGTATGCAAACCCGGCATACCAATATGCTGACTTGCATCATTGTGTATAGTAGCACAAAGGCAAAACATTTGAATGTCTAATACTACAGAAATGATTTTGTAAATGATGTTACATTTATGCAATGGAATGCTATTCATCTATAGAAAACGAAAAAAGGTTTTCAAAGAATCTTTTATGACATGGAAAAACGGTGTTGAAATAATATAGTGTGAGAACAATAGGACTGGAAGTGTTCAGACTGTGGTTCCAATAATGCTTTAAAAACAAGCCCCAGTAAACAACTTGAAGGAAATATACCAATGTTTTAACAGTGACAACCCGTTATAGATGGATCATCTTTGTAATTTTGCATACTTTCAAAGTTTCCCTCACTAAGTAACTATTACTGTCACCCACGTCACCCTCAACACACCCACAAAGAAAATAAACATATGAATGCTAATTCCAGTATGAGGTGACAGTGGTGGCAGCTAGCAGCATGGAAAATCTACATTCTAGAGGTCCCAGGGATGGCACCAGCTGCCCCTTATCTATATCCTGCCCTTCTCATCTGAAGAGCCTGGGAGGAGGCTGCTGCCCTCCAAGGATGACCACTGGAGTCCAGGGAACAATCCCTTCTGGCAACAGGATGTTGCAAGATCTCAGAAGGAGTGAGACCAAGGAGGATGGGTGAGCAAATGCTAGCTTTGGTTGCTTCAGCCTTCTGAGAGAAGTGAGCCACAGGCTCCACCATGGAGGTGTGGCTTGCAAGATTTATAGCGCTTAGGTCCCCCAGAATTTACATCTTGTCCTATATCTGTGTTCTCTATTAGCCCCAACACATACGCGTTCTTACCAGCATCGGACATAAGCATTGCTCTCCCAGAGTGGTGAAGACCACACGGTGATTTCAAGCACCCAGTCGTGATGTTATTAACAAAGGACTTAAGAGAAAGGAAAAGAAACTCTCCTGACTGAGAGATGTTGCTTCCAATTAATAATTCCCAATCTCAATTCTACAACTGTGAGTCAGCCTTTTCTCCGAATAGCTGAGATTTCTTCTGAATATGCAAAATATTTCTAGTGCCCAATTTAGTGAGATTCTAGGATTTGACATCCAAAAATAATCCACCTTGCGGTTAGCACGGAACAAAACAGAAGTCGTTCCAAACTCCTGTTCCCAGATAAGAAATGAAAACCGTTCATTCATCTTTTTTCTCACAAGAATCACTTGAATCACAGAGCACCATGACTGGAGAATACTGTCTTCTCCATTTTTTTATTCCAGTTTCCAAATAGCCACCAAGCTCTAAAAGCTAGAATTATTTCTCTGACATTCAACATCAAGAGAAAAATCTAGATAAGAAATACATTCCTACCTGGGATTTATTTATTTAAAGAGTAACTTCTAGGGTGTATCCAAAGGTTTAGAAAGACTCAAGTCAATTTCTTTCCAACTTTTGGTCTTTTTCTATCCAGCAAGAATCAATATTTGGAAAGTTAGCCTCGAGGCGTTGTATAGATCACAGGGTATTTTCAAAGGCAGGTCAACACTTATTCAGATTTTTGTTGTATTTGGTTGTTCTGAAACTTAGCATTTGAAATACAATATATATGACAACTCTTGGTGAATCACAACCCATTCCCCTGACAAGATGTGTATGTTATATCATTTTAGAGGTAAAGCTAAATGGAGCCAGCTAGGTCCCAGACCTGCTACCTCTAATTAGATCTTCCCTTTTTACATGTTTTGCCTTAACACCTGCTGGCTTGAGCCACTCCCCAGAACCCTTCTGTCCCCATTCACAACAACCCCTTTATGAAGAACTGTGCCTGTCCCATTCACTACATGGTTGCAGTAAGCAGACGCCCTGTCCAAGGAGCGGAAGGCTGCCAGGAGGTGAAAATCTATCCATTGTGGCTGAGCAGCTCTTTGCAAGGAGGTTTGAGGTGTTATCAGGTCACTACCTCTTGAGAGAAGGCACAGACAATGTCCAGTGAGGCTGTTTTGCAAATGCTAGTGGTTACTGAGGCATTTCAACTCCAACCCACAGAATTTGGGACCTTTGGAGCAATCAAAGGGTAGGCCAAGGTGCTGCTGATAGCAGTGGAGAGCTCCGGACCAAACCTATCATGATGCTATTGGATTGCTTTTATTCCAACCTCCCTGCTGACCTTGGGGACCACATAGACAAATACTAAGACAGCAATTCTCAGATCTCACCCACTGTATCTTATCAAGTGTACCATGTTTTCTAGCTGGGTCAGGACGTGACTATGGGTTCCAACTCAAAAGGGAACATAACTCACGGGGCAGTCATTTTGTTGGAGGGGCTCGACTAGGCCAGGTGCAGACATTACTGCTTAATGGGTATCTTTTCAATAGAAAGGAAGCTGCCCTAGGTAGGGAAGCAGAACTAGGAAAAGACAGACCGAGAAGAGGCTGGGCTCTGTGTTCTCATACGCATAGGTCTCTGGCCTAGAAAGGGCTTTAGGTCATGCATCCACCGCCCAGGTGGTCACCTGGTCATGGCTAGAGGCCTCCCTCTCCCCATTCATTTCTGTCACTCACCCAAGTTTCCTCTTCCTGTTTTAAGGTGCTAGCCCCACAATCCCCACCAAAGCCAAGAAACAGAAACTGAAGTCTTTTCCATCCCAAGTTGACAAGTCCTTACTGGCCCTTTTGCTCTGACTTCTGTTTGAGTTTTACGGCTTCCAATTTGGCCCCTTCCCTGCCCAAAAACAGAGAGAGTGGCCAGCCAGTCACCACTTCAAATATTGACCCTAGGGAAGAAGGCCCTGGGAAAGGTTTCATGGCATCTTTGCATCTCTGGGAAATTGGGCAGTCCGCCATTTCTCTGGCCATGCTTTTTTGGCCAAGAACTGCAGAGGATGGCCTGGATTTCAAGAGGCTAAAAGTAGGTTAGAACCTTCTAGAAAGAGGATCTGTGTTCAAGACTTGGGAATTTCCTGCCTGGGAGAAGCTTTCCGGGACTGCAGTAAGCCAGGGCAATGCACAGGTGAGGAGGCTTCCTCTTGGTGGAAGAGGCAGCTTCGGTTACTTTGAGAAGCCTCAGATCTAGGTGGGCAGAGCCTTGACAGTGCCAGAGAGACAGACAGACACCTGGACTGGCGGGGAGAGTCATGCCTCCAGGTGGCCCCTGAAGTACACTGGCACATGGACAGCCCCTGACCCTTCTGGAGCCTCCTGACAGAAATGGCGATTGTTTTTTCAGAACTTCTCACTTACTTTTAGGGAACAAAAGGTAAAATTGACTTAGCAACGCCTCACTTTGAAGTGCAGAGAAAGAAAATATAACTGAGTGGTTTCGTGCGCAGATGCTCCGTCCCCTAAGCCCATGCGTGCCCTGCCTTTCCTCCGAGGGCCTGGCATGGTGCTGGTCCCAGGGAATCTGGGAGCTTTACGGAATCAGGAAAATCAAGGGGCGCTCGAGCCCTTCTCGCCAACATGCTTTTCCTTAATCATCTAACCCCTGCTTTGGGGGCCTTGGGGTTTTCACAGGGAACGAAGAAAGAGAATACACACCAAAGAAAGATCCTGGACACTGGGTGTGTTCAAAGAGTGAGATTGATTTCTTTTTATTGCCATCTTAACAAAAAATACTTCGGAAGGCAATCTTTGATTCCAGCATAGGAGGGCCAGGCAATTCCAGGCAATAATTAAGCCATTGGCTGTTGGACAA